GCTCTTCGGTGTAACAGGAAACTGCGCGGCCTGTAGTAAGCTCATCCCTGCCTTTGAGATGGTGATGAGAGCCAAGGACAACGTCTACCACCTGGACTGCTTCGCCTGTCAGCTTTGTAATCAGAGGTGAGTAGGTTTCTTTCCGGCTTCTCAAAAATGGAAAACCTCTTCGTGTTGGTATTGATTTAATAGGTGACAACGATACGGGGATACTTCACTTAAGTGGTAATTAATCTCAGGATTTTTTTTGTTTTTTGCAAAAATGCCGTCACTGCCTGAAAAAGGCATGAAAATGGAAGGTCTTACGACCAACTTGCAAAGAAATGCATCCTGTAAGAGCATGTGCTGAATCGAGGAATACTTACGTTAACTTCGGGGCTTATTATTTCTTATTCTTTTTATTGTTTTTCCATCTTTTTAAGAGTTAGTTTAAAATATCTTTACTCTTTTGTGTTACTTTTGTGAGCAAGCAAATGGGCACTCAAGAAAATATACCAGAATTTGTAATGGGTATTTTGTTTCCATCTAATTTATTATATTTATAGCTTCCCTTTATCTTGATATCTTCTCTGAAATTTTAACCGTGTTCTATATGTACTTTTTAAATTGTCTCAAATCTCTTTGGGGACAGGACCAAATAGAGCTAATAATGAACAATTAACAGCATTGGAAAGCAGCAACGGAAAGAATTTTGCACAATGAATCTAGAATCCTAAATTCTAATATGGGCCCTGTCACAAATTGTCTGTGTGACCTTAAGTCAGCCAGTCTACCTTTCCTGGCCTCATTTTTCTTTATTTGTAATGTAATGAGAGGCCGGAGATGTAGCTCAGCAATGCAGCACCTGTCTGGTAAGTGCAAGGCCCTGAGTTCGATTTCTGATACAAAAAGAAAGAAAGAAAGAAAGAAAGAAAGAAAGAAAGAAAGAAAGAAAGAAAGAAAGAAAGAAAACAGTAATGTAAGAGCTGAATTAGTCAATTTCAGAATTTTTTCAACTCAAAAGAATTTGACTTTTTTTCCTTATTAAAAGTTATACTTTTATTTCCAGAGAGGTATATACTCTCTCATGTGATAAATCCAGAGAATTTAGAACATTAAAATAAATATATAGTAAAAATATAATACTTAAAAATTATATACTTAATAAATTTTAATGAAGGTAGAATCTCTGAAAACACAGAAACATAGTATATAACCAGTAAATATTAGTTCCATCAAGTTTGTGTGATTTCCCCTAGAAAGTCCTGGTCAATGCAAAGATTTTTTTAAAAAACAAGGTCCTGTAGAATAGTAAAGAAGATCATGCATCTAGGAAGAACTAGATTCAAATTCCAGCCCTGCCATGTATTAGCTGTGTGATCTTGGGGATGTTGTTCTGAGTTTGTTTTCTATATCCACAAAATAGAAATCCTAATACTTGCAAAGTTTGAAAATTAAATAAAATAAATTATATCAAGTACTAGGAATACAGTAAGTTTTTGAAACTTTCATGTTTATAATATACTTTGATTAAATTCTACTACACGGATTTGACTTTTCTAAAAGATAAATATCTCAGTAGTACCTCTTGCCAAATGTAAAAGCTTAGAATGTGGCCCAATATACTCTGTGATGTCACCTTTACCTGTATAATAAGAAATAATCTTCAATACTGATTCTTCCCAGCAAATGTTTGGAATCAAAGTAACAAATGCATTTTGTTTCTAGTGAGAATATAGATATACAGATGCAAATATCCACAGACCCATACAGACACATTTATATACATGGGTACAATGTTCATTTTAAAGGTGTATTAGTATAAATTTAGAATAACTTATTTTATTTGCTGCATTGAATCACTATTAACAGCCACTAATATCAGTTATATTTATGCAATAATAATTTTTACTGCTGTTCTACTTATAAAAGCTTCCATATTCACAAGAGCAAATTTAGAAAATAAAAAACAATAAAGAACAGTATTATCCCATATCTCACTATTCTGAAAGAAGATATGTTAATATTTCAGTGTTTAGGCAACTATAATTTTTTCTATTATTTCTATTATCATACATACTATCTACTTTATATTATTCCCATGTTTAAGCAGGTTTTTTAAAAAAAGTAACAGAAAAGAATCTTAGTGTTTGAAGTATGGACTTTCTTATTTATTTTAAATTCCTTTTTTACCATCATTTAAAATTCTTTCAAAGTATTTTAAGCTATCTTGTGTTCAGGTTTACAGCTGTACCATTGCATATTATAGCACTCTTCTGTTATCTGATGTGTAAGTTGTTTCTTCAGAAGTTTTTATATTATCAATCTAATACAGCTTCTATAAACAAATCCTCAAATCATGTCCAGATAAATTCACAGGAGGATAATCAATTAGACAAAGAGCACAACAGTTTGAAGGCTTATGTTACACGTTGCTAAAATGTTCTCCCCAAAAGTTATGCCAATTTTCTCACACTGAAAACTACTAATTCCCTCTCACATGCTCTAACACTGGAAATTATTATTATTTTTTTTGGTACCAGGGATCGAACTCGGGTCCTTCCGTTTGCAAGGCAGGTGGCGGAACCACTGAGCTAAATCCCCAGCCTGAAATTATTTTTAGAGAAATTCTTTTCACTTTTAGGGATGAAAGTTGGTACCTCATTATAGTTTTTAATTGGTATTTATTTGCTTACTAGTGGCCTCTAGTATTTCTTCTGTTAGAGAACTGCCTATTTATGCCCTTTGCCCATTTTTCTGTTAGGGAAGGTTTACCTGTTTTATCTATGTTCTACACAGAAAATGAAAACATCATTCAAGTGCTAAACTCAGCCTAAATTCGATTATGATGCAAAGTAATTGTAGGTGGTTAATACTATTTACAAATCGTCTATCAATTTTATTTCCCCGTTGAAATAAAAAGTTGCATTCACAATTAAGTCTGTCTCCTTAGAAGAACTTAGTCAAGTAAGACAAATACTCCTAAATTTTGGCTCTAAAACTGTTCACATTCTTATTGCTGCAAAATACTGTTCTAGTATCATTATTAAAGTACCTAATATATTTCTGTGTTCGCTTCATTTATTACATGCCATAATGGGCTGCATATCTTTGGTGCTGGTTATGCACAATTAGCACTTAGTTATTGTCTTGTCACTTCAGCCCCTGCAAGACAAACTTCTTTAATGCAAGAAGTCAACTAATCTTTGTCAAGCAAAGCAGACAAATTCTGTTACCTTGAATACAGAAAGCTTTCAACATAGGAGATTCTCCTGCTCTGTCATTTGTGGGGGCAGTTTCTTAGCAATTTCATATCCCACACAGCCCTATGCTTTCTGCACCCAAATCATTTTCTCAGTATCGCACTTTTCCAAAGAAAGCATAAGGGAAATTGGTAATCTACAGCCGTTTTCTCTCAAGTAAACTTTACTGGCATCTGAAATTGGGGAATTGTCAATATTTCTGACTTTATTCAGCCTTTTAACTTTTAAAATCAAAATATCGTTAGGGTCCAAAGCACTTCTGAATGTTTAAAACAACAACAACAACCAACTTTAAGAATTTACTGCCCTTTCCATAGATCTTTGACTTTTTAGTGGGTTATGACTAAACATGGGAATCCTAGATTTAAAACATTAAGGCTTTTCTATTTTAAAAAGAAACCAGAGAAGAATTATTTTGAGCTTCTCTTGTGAAAATTTATGTGATTTAAAATTGGGAAAAGTCTGTAAAATGGGTTCATTTTTTAAAAGGTGAATAAGTCTCTCCTCCTTGGAAAACTCAGTAACAATAAGTAATGGCTGCACTGTTGGAATAACGGTGGGGGAAAATATGTAATTTGTAATGAAATTTGGGGAGCCAAATACGTAGCACTACATACTGTTTTGTTTTCTTTTATAAAGCATAGAAACACTATGCTGGGCCCTGTGGAAGTTGAGTAGATAAAATCCAGTTTCTTTCCTTTTTTTCGTCTGATCAGAGCCATGGGAGAAGCAAAGACTTATAGATCATACATCTACATTGAGGGAAGACAGCATCATCCTGGAGTTTGGGGATGCATCAAAGTGCTGATAGATATGCTGAGTTTAAGACAAAATTCCCTAGGACTGGGTGGGTAGAGGCAGTGGGTGTGACAAGGACTGGGAAGGATGAGGGGGCTGGAGACAAGAGGTTTCCAGGCAGATAGCACAGCATGCCCAGGGGTGGAGATGGCAGAGTGAGAGAGTTGCTCAGGCAATGAGAAGCAGCTGAGAATGCTGAGATTACTAGTTCAGAAGGGATGTAAAGCCATGGCTAAGAGGAGATGAAGCGGTAAAGGGAGGATGTCACTGATGAAAGACAATATAAATACAAATTTAAATTATTTATCTAAAATACATCTGCTACTTAAAACTCTTGTGTTCTGAAATAAAAGTATCAACTAACATCTATGGACTGCACATCAACCTTAAGTTGTAGGACATTTATGGTGGTACTGCAGAGGGTTCAAAAGAAATATGATTCACTGGAATTCACCTCAGCTGTGCAGATTGCGAAACCTGTTACACATTGATGAGAAAGTTTGAAATGACAAGGTAAATGATATGCCAAAAAATACCTGCTTTAGGAAAGATCAGAAGATCAGGAAATATTAATGGAGGGAATGGAAACTAAGGAATTTGTATAATTTAAGTAGATAGAAAAAATGAGAAATGTTCTTGTCTAGGAAACAGTGTACATAATCTTTTTTATTAATAAAAAGCTTATCATTAATAAAACAGAAATTTCTCATATAGTGCTAACTATATAAAGGCACTATTCATAGTGTTTACATAAACTAACTCATTTAATTCTCGAAATCACCCATATCCAGGGACTGTTAGTGGCCTAATAAGCAAACTATCATACAGAAAAATTTAAGTAACTTGCCCGAGAATACACAGCTAGGAGTTAGAAGACTCAAGATTTGAGCCTGCAAAATGAGGCTTTACCCTTTGGACTCAAGCTTGTTTCTGTGGAGGTATCTTATTTCCTGATGAAGAGAATATAAATGTGAGAGCTATCACAGAGTTACAGTGAGGTTGATTTTAAATAATTTACAAGTTTATGGCTAATGTTAGGAAGGAGATACAGAATGAAACTGGACTATCAGTGGGGAAAAGACAGTGAATTTGCTCACAAGCATTATAGGGATAGAAAAAGTGTATAACTTGTGCCTCTTACTGAAAATGTATCATTAATGTATTTATACCATCCTCTGGCCATCTCTATTTTACTATATATAAATGTATTAATATGTGTTTTAGAATATATATAAGTTATATAAACCTGAAAATTAGCTTTTCTTACAAAATCACAGTGATAGATTATTTTGTTAAACATGTAATATCTACATAGCTATTTCTCTAATATCCTCATGTTTACATTTGGAGCTTTTTAAAGAAGCGAGTGCCAATCTTAATTGCATAGCAATCATAATCTGTTCTTAACCATACCTGTCAAAGTTTTTTCTTTTTTCTAGTTATATGTGTGAGACACTCTTAACCATGTTCTGTTTCACCTGGACCTTTAAGTTTAAATGGAAAAGCACATAAAATGTACTGTATAGTTGACAGCATATTAGCAAAAATATTTTAAGTAGGACTATTTTAGATAAATATATTCCCCCTTCTCTCAATAGAGAAATTTGTCTGAAAACTGTTCGTGAGATGTGCATGAGATCTCTCACATCTTATTGAATAGTTGGCAGACTTTGTAAAAGTTATCCCAATAAATAATAATAATAATATAGAAGCTTGTGTAACTGTTCAACCTTCACATTATGCTTGTAGTCTATATGCTTTACTGCCCATACGTAAAAGCGTGAGTCTTGAATCCAAAGTGGCTTGGGTTATTTTTCTTCCTCTTCTACATATAATCAAGGTATAGAACATTGGACAAATTTTTTAAAATTCTGCAGGGAAGTCTCAGATTTTTCTTCTGCAAAAGGCAGTGGTAATACTTTCTAGTTTGGATGTAAGGAATAATATATATAATATATATATGGTGATGAAAACATGGGATGAATATTTAAATTTTTAAAAAACATATTACAGTACAAGATGCATTGCCATTATTCCCCTCTCAAAATGCTCCCTCTCACCTGGAGCACACTCATCCCTTCATCCCTGCCACTTCCTGAAGCAGCTCTGAAGTGCTCTTCTTGCCCAGTCCTGGCTGCCTCCATGGCCTGTACTAGCTCAGCACGTTTCTCTTTCATGGCCATTTTAACTTTAGGGATGAGCCAGAAGTTACACGGTGCTAGGTCTGGTGAAGAAGGTGGATGAAGACATACCATAACGTTTTCATTTGACAGAAATCACCATAAATGTTTTTAATCAATTCAGGACATTAAGTTAGCCACAAAGAGACACTCCCAGAGAACTCCCAGAACCACTTCAGAAAGTGAGAAAAATGATTGAATAAGTGTGTTTGAAGTGAAGGGGAGTACTTTCAAGGGCATTGATTAATGGCAATGCATCTGTTACAACATTTTAAAAAAAGTTTGTTTAAACATTCACTGTATTTTTTATCACACTTCATACATATTTAGAGTTAGCACATGGTAAGCAATTTACAAAAGGTGGCTAATTTACCTATATTCCAATCATTGTGGTAAGATTTTACGTATTTCATTTCTATTCTTTGCTATACACTTACAAAAATGACTGACATTACTGACAAGAAAAATTGAAGTTTCATCTTCAGTTTTCACAGGTGGAAGGCTGGGATTTGAACCATTTTCATTGCAATACACCTCTCTGCCTTTCATGTACTTTTTGTTTGAACCTCTCTACACCCCAGTGCTATGTTTCTCTTGTAGGGAAAGCGTGAAGTATAGTGACAGGGCTGGGGCCAGATTCCCCAGCTGTTGGTTCTATACTCTCTCACTATAATTGCCTGGAACTTATGCATGTACAAATAGAAATGTTCTAAATTTCGGACGAAGCCTCTAAAAGTAAGAAAAAAATGGCAGGACATGTTGACATGACAGAAAACCATTTTTATTTGATGACTAATGGAATTCAGAGATTTGATAACAAATTAAAGCAAAATTTAAAACAATATAACGATAAAAGAGTATTTTCAGATTAGTTGTTTGTTAAGAAAAATGATTCAGTAACATCAACTTTTGAACACACAAGTGTTTTATTAAATCTATTTTTGATGTTTTTTATTTCCTGTTAGTTGAAATTAACAGTAAAGTTAACTGATGATTTTGAACAGTATGCTATATACTGTCTTATATAATTCCAAATAAAAGAGAAATATATAATTTGGCTACTGCAGCCAGTCCAACATTACGAATATTTTCATTTATTCAACATTTCTTAGTGATGGGGATTACAAACACTGGTTTATTCAATCGCAACTTTTTAAATGCAACATTTAAAGCACATGTGTGCGACTAATACAAAGAAAATACACATAAAGCTCCAAACTTAAATGTTTATTGTGTCCAATAGCCTTGACCAGGAGCAACTCCTGGATTTCAAGATCAGTGCATACACTGTACTTTCAATCAACAACAACAGCAGGCAGTAATCCAGGGGAAAAAGGTAAATTCCACAAATAAACAGACCAATTTTCCTTTAAGAGGAAAGCTAATTCTTTTCAATCTACTTTTTTTATTACACTATTTCCCCCTCTATCTACTTAACTAGTATAAGGATAAATTTCCAAAGCTACCCAGTTGGAAAATAAATAGGTTCACTGTTTGCCTAGCATTCCAATCTTTGCAAATGTAAATCAGTCCAACTGCTATTCCCTTAAACCTTCAACTTCACAAAACATTAAAGGGTGGCTTTCATTGCACAATTTAATCTATCCACCACGATTTCTGCCTGAACATCATTCGAAATTGACTATCTGATAAAGAGAGACCACTATCAAAGATCAGCTAGGTCAACTTGTATAATTACAAGGAGTTTTACTGGGTCAAGTCTACCAAACACCACTGTTTGAAGGTTAAATTGTTACAATTAAATGTATATACAGATCTTCCCAGAGTTACTATATTGTTAAATGTACTGGAAACAGCACAAGCATTTATTTCTGACCTTAATTGTGTCCAAAGAGTCACCCATTGGAAATTATACAAAAAGACTATTTATTAAAAACACTACAATCTTCCACATTAAACAATGCTTTATAAACTAAAATGCATAATTAACTGCAGGAGACTATTTTTATTTATCGCCCATATTAACTAGTTCATACAGCTTACTTCCTTGGGTTTAATTGGAAAAGATCCAAGAAATGACATCTATTATTTAATAGTTGGTGAATCTGTCCCAAACAAAGGAAAGGATTTGAGCTCTTCTTCTTAGTTGGATCTAAAGCAGGCTTCCCTTCAGAGTGAGCACTTCCAAATTACTAGAACTCAGATTCATTTTAACAACAGAGTAAAAGGAGTTTTTAAGTGGAACATTTTAGAATTGGCTGTTTTCTAATCATTTGCTTCATTTGAATGTCTTCTACAATTGTATTAAATGGGTAAATGGCCAGTGATGAAATCTTTCATAATCACAGCAGAGAAATATAATTACCATTCTTTGTTTTATTTTATTGCTTGTAAATAAAGGTCTGTTCTTTTATTTTTTTTCTCTCTCCAATGTAGTGAAAGAAAGAAAGAGAAGGAAAAAAGGAAAGACATAAAGAAAGCAAATCAACCTTGGTGCCCCCAAGGTGTTTACCTTGATGTTCCTACAGTTTTTATATATAACGGTGGAATTTCAAATGTTGTATGCAATGTTTCATTAAATGAACTGACTGGTTTTGATTTTGATAATGAAGGCCACTTCCTAAGCCAAGCTTTCACATTGGGGAAATTACCATGGGAAACTCTTATTAGGAAAATAAGTCTTCAAATCTATAGATCTGAGTGAAATAGTCTTAACACACCTTATTTTTTAATATTTTCAGATTTTGTGTTGGAGACAAATTTTTCTTAAAGAATAACATGATCCTTTGCCAGACAGACTACGAGGAAGGCTTAATGAAAGAAGGTTACGCACCCCAGGTTCGCTGATCTATCAACATCACCCCATTAAGAATACAAAGCACTACATTCTTTTATCTTTTTTGCTCCTCATGTATATAAGAATTGACACCGGAACCTACTGAATAGCGTAGATATAGGGAAACAGGATGGTTATATGGAATAAAAGGCGGACTGCATCTGTATGTAGTGAAATTGCCCCAGTTCAGAGTTGAATGTTTATTATTAAAGAAAAAAAGTAATGTACATATTGCTGGATTTTTTTGCTTGCTATTCGTTTTTGTGTCACTTGGCATGAGATGTTTATTTTGGACTATTGTATATAATGTATTGTAATATTTGAAGCACAAATGTAATACAGTTTTATTGTGTTACCATTTGTGTTCTGTTTGCTTCTTTGTATTGTTGCATTTAGTACAATCAGTGTTTAAACTTACTATATATTTATGCTTTCTGTATCTACCAGCTATTTTAAATGAGCTGTAACTTTCTAGTAAAGAATTAAAGAGCAAATCTCACTAATGATACACAGATAGATAAAGCAAGTCTATCAACATTTAAAAATACTAAAAAATAAAGACACACAAAGCATTTTAGGGACATCCACTACTTTTTGCCACTACGATTTAGAGTCTATCAGTGTTCTCATTATAACCCCCTATTTTCAGGGGGTTAAAAATCAGCTTTAAAAAATACATAAAAATTCATCTTAAAGCACTTTTATTTTATACCAACATGAAAAGTGCCATTTTTAGAATATCTTTAAAGCTTAACAGTTATCCTCTTAATATCATTTGTGTGCTATTTACCTATTGAAGAGCTTTAGTTTTTTCGGCTACACCACCTATGTGAACTAGTGCCTTTGGGTATCATGTAAAATTTTTCCAAAAGGTTACTTTAAAAAATGTTACCAGAACTAGGAGATAATTTTAAAATGACACATTAAATTTCCTGCATAAATGTTGCCTGGATTTTTTCCCAGGAGCTAAGGTTTTAATAACTTTATTGCTTAGTGAATTTATGGCACTGAAAAGATCTGAGTGTGAATCTACTGAAGTCATAATAACGCACATTGAAGCTAAGATGGTGCTTGAGTAGTGTGGTCACGGCAACACGATGCTTGTAGAATCTTCTAGAAGAAAAGAAACGAAGGGACTGATTACAAGCTGAGAATTGATGATTATCTATTTTTCTGTATTTACTTCCGATTTATTTTAATGTTCAGAAATGAACCCTTGGAGTTTGATATGTTGTCCCTTCTCATTGCTCTTATTACCAATTCAGAATATATTACACTTAGGCTGAAATTCTGTCATTCCATTTTTGGAAGGTGAAATATTATCCCCTTACCTAAATGATAGCTGATAAAGAAGAAAGCTCTAGAAATAGAAATTATGGAAAGTGATTATTTAAGTATCAAGAAAAATAAAGAGAGAATGTGATCACCTCTTCCAGTTGCTCACACTCGGCCACTGCTCCTGAGGGTGGAACTTCTTAACAAACCGAACCCTAAACAGTCACTATGGATTATATTTTTCTACAGCAAACACGGTGCTGTGGGTTTTCCTTTTCTTTAGTTTTTTCTTCATCATTTAGGAAACATTATTTCTCACTGTTATTTGCATACTTACTTATCCTGCCGGCCAATGTATGCATTACACAGGAAAATTAAATGTTATCACTAAATTTTTGGTTTGGGGGCAAAATATAAAGCTGGAAATAATGCTGGTGTAAATTTGAGTTGTTTTACAAACAAAGCTTTATGTTGAACATGCATGTGAATCTGAATATTGCCTCTTATTTTTAAGAAAATGGTTCTGTGAGAAGTGAATGACATGTATTTTTACAAATGCTTCCTGGTTAAGAGTGTTGAAGTCACATGTCTCCAAAATTTGAGATATACTGAAGAAAGAATTTTAAAGCTAGCCATTTGGGTTCATAAAGCAATTATTATTTTACCCTTAGAGCCTTACACTTGTTTCATGAAGATGTATGACTTGCATAGCCAAAAACAGACAAAACAAAACAAAAGTCAAGGGGAGAAAAAAAAAACAACAAAGAAGTGATTTCTTATAACAGAGCTCTGTTAGTCCACAGTAACAGTTGTTTGACATTCATAGGAATGGAAACTTTGTCAGTATCTTTTTCAAATGACCTTTTTAAAGTTTAAGTGGTTTTGCATATATTTGTCAATACATAAAAAAAATCCTTGTAAATTAGGAATAAAATTTTCTCAGCTTCCTGAAGCTGCTCAACTATCCTTGCCACCTCAAGTCCGAACAAGATTTTCACAATTACTCCTTTTGTTTAATCCTTGGGGGATTCATTTTAATACTTTTTACTCCCAACAAAATTACTCACCTGGATTAAAGATTAAGCCTTAATCTGTTCGGATTACCTTTAATCTCCATGGAATTGTGAGACAAGACAGCCCTAGTTTTTCAGCTGTAGGCTATTTTACAGCTAATTGCCCATAAATAGTAGCATTTTGACCTGAAATACTGAGTTAATTGTCTTGACAACTCAGAGCCCCTCAATTGCTGTCAACTTTCCCCTTTGTGTCGTGCAGCCCTGACGTCACTGAGCCTGTCATCCTGTGCTCCAGAAGGAAGTGGAGGAGCTCAGATTTCTCAAGCAAAGAAAGCCCCTCCCTCCCTTGCTTTTATACAGGCTGCTCCTGTTGAACGACTGGGTATCTCCAGTCCACCATCGTGCTGAGTCTAAAAGCTGACCTGTGTTTGTAATTTCACTTTCATCTTGCTTAATAAATATCTGCTGGCTTCTTTCATTCACTTTTTAATATTTGGATTTATGTTTTTCATAAAAGGGGTGTTCTGCTACTTGATTGCACTCAACTGGCAAAATGGAAAATGAGGTCTAGAAAGTCTACGAAAACAGGAAAAACAAAGTGTGTAAGAGCACCGGCTTTCTAGAGGTGAACCCCAGCAAGCACATGGACAGGGCACCTTTCTCCAAATACTGGAGTATGTTTCAGGGATCTGAGATAGGTGGCGCATTTACTTCTGTGGAGAAGTTGAAACTGTTACCAAGGATCGTAGCAATTGCTGGGTATCATTTTTGCACATTTATACGAATTTTCAGTGATCTTTCTGAAAGCAACTGAGTTACTGTCATCAGACTAAATTTGAAATTTCCTATTTCCTGTATAATGAATGAAAACAAAAAACTTAATCCCACATTTTCAAGAGAGACATGGTATGCCTTAATTGAAACAGGGTGGTGAAAATTATATCTGTAGCAAAACATACACAAGTGGTTTCATTTTAACTATCACTTTAGGCAAACCACTCTCGGAATAATCACTTAAACAATTTCATAGAAATGATATAGGCCAACCATGTTTAGTGTTCACTTCAGTAAGTTGCAAAAACAATCTACGTGTTTATTGTAATAGGCCATTAGCACAGAATACAATTTTAGCAAAAGTCTCTCAATCATTACTTTTTCTTAAAAACACCATTACAGATGTTTTTAAAAATGGGATTTTTAATGCACTTTAGCAAAATAGAAGGCAAAGGATTGATAGAGCCATTATTTCAATTGACATTTATTGAGCTCCTACTATGTGACAGGACTTTTCCTGAACACAGACACCTACAGACACAAGTGGGGTATTTCATACATCCAGTAACTTTAATGTGTCTTTGGATCACTTAAGTCATCACAACTGTGCTAATAATGAGCACACAAATATGAGCACTATCTTATACCTATTCAACATGTCATTAGTATAGAAGCCCCAGAAAATATCTCAAGTCATCAATGTGTTCGGAGAATTATCTCACACAAATTACTCATTAACTCAATAGCACATAATAAAAAAGAACATCAATTAATTAATGAGTCACCCTCAGATTGCTATGATTACAATAGGGCTCTGTTGAAACAGCGGTTATAAATGGAGCTGCCTCTCTTTGTTCATTGTTTGCAATTGGCTCATTATTTGCCTGAAACCAGTGTCATATTTAACACTTGCCTGTACGTAATTGTGTGATTAGTATCATAAATAAAGAATTTTGAAAGTCTACTGTTTATAAGACCTCAGGGGAAAAAAACCCCTCATTTTTACCACAGCCTCCTTTGAAGACAGGCTATTAGAAGGGTGTTATCTTTCTAAGAGGTATAGTTCTACATTTATAATAAAAATATAAGACTGGCATATTGAGCACTAGAAGAATTATCTGCTAAAATACCTACAGGTAAATTTTACAATTCTTTTATACACATATGACTTAATTTCAGTAACATTGTGAAGACTAAAATATGTACGATCAATGCCAATTTTACTAATGATTTGTTCCCCTCAGAAGGGCACTTGGGGTGAGCTGGGTTAGGGTTGCTTTGTGGGGACTGACAGCAATAGGGGAAGGGATTAAAAGAAATACAAACGTTACACACAAAGTCTCTAAGTAAACTTTCCCAACTATCTGGTAAATGCCATTTCAGTAAGCATGTAGAATAATTATAACAGTTCCCTTAGGTAGGTAGGAAACATCTGTCGGTAACACATAGCAGGTGTTAACAATTACACATACTGAACTTTTAAAAAATGTTTTTAATTAAAAGAATTCTGTTTTATTGGAAGAAAACTATGTTAAATTCAAAGATAGTCCTGTTTTATATGTCCAGATCACATAATGCACAAAATTGCAAAGCCCAGATCATCTTGGATCATCTAGGTTTTGTGTTTGGTTCAGATCACTGCAATCAGAAATGAATTATAATTCATTGCACTTTTTCCACAATTGGTATTCTGAGCTGAGGAGCTGAATACTCAGGAAATTGGTAGAGTAGAGCTGATAACAGAATATTTTGGGTTTATGGGCAAGGTAGTTGCCATTAACTATACCAAATTGAGCAGACACAGTACAAGGAAAGATGAGAGTGAGACTTTCAGATAATAGATAAACAATGCTTTTTTTTTTTTTTTTAACACTGCCCCGGAGGGACTTTAAATCACCTAGAGTAAACAGTGCTTTTATAACATGGAATCTTACCATACGACCCATCTTCAATAGCTTTTAATAATGATAACACATTTACTGAACACTTGCCATCTATCGAGTAACTTTCTACACCCTTAGTATTTGCACAATAGCCCATGACATAGGTATCATTACCTCTATTCTACTGATTTTTAAATTTTGAGCTTTGTTTTTGAGATAGGGAAATGGTCATACCATGTTGCCCAGACTGGTTTTCAACTTGTATTCTCAAGTGATCTTTTCACTTCAGCTAGGACTAAAAATATGTGCAACCACGCTTGGCTTTCCTGATTTTAAATAAGAGCATTGATAGGTCATTTAACCTGCCAGAGGCCAAGTGAGGAGGTGGACTTGAGATAGTAGGTAGTGAACTTGAGGTTTAAACACAAGTTTACTGGGTCTTCACCACTCTACTAATATCATTTGTTATAAGGTTGTCATTATTATTATCATTATTGATTTGGTAGTCTCTGGGAATAGCCAAGAGCTAGAAGGAGTTGTCTATGCTTAAGAAAAATTGCAAACACTTCAGAGTTAATGTCATCATTTAAAAAATGGGATCATGATCATCTTTTCCAAGGTGCAATCTGTTTGAGATTTCCTCTTTGCAACCAAGCCATAAAGGTTATTTGTTTGCACTGCTAAATCCAGGATACCAAGAATAGAGGATCCTTTAGTTCAGCAGTTTGGAAAACAGTAAATGGGAATAGACTGCTATAATTCTCCACGTCAGGCCAAACATGCTATAGTGAGGTGAGACTAGATGGATCTCCAAAATCAAGATGGATAAATGAACATATCTCTGATACTTTACAATTTACTTTCATAAGAAGAGATAGGGCCAAGATTGAAGTCCCCACATTAACAATCTGTATCAAGCTTTGTGTTTACTGATCTAAACTGCACAAGTTGTAAGGGATGCTAGGTCCAAGTCAGTGCCAAACAACTCAGAAACTCCTTTGTTTCAAAACTACATTGGCCAGCCAGGACAAAGCAAAATGGCAAAAGTGTTAGCCTTGACAGTGACCGGAGCAAAATCCAATTATTCACATCCTCACATAGAGAAAGGTCCCAAAATTCTGGTCTCCAGTGCTCTGACTGCCTGCTACCATCACCACTGCCACCTCCGGGTCCACTTGAACCTACATCACTTCAGATTGAGTGGCCATGATGGAAACTCACACCACACAGGAAGGGCTCCAAATTTTCTGTAGATAACTCATACTTAAAATGGGGAGCTCAGAGCTTTGATGATCATGGAGAAACATGGTCAAGTTGGCTTCCAAAAAAATGTTTTCCTCTTCAATTTGGATGGCACAGTGGAAGCCCCAGGAACTTTTAATTGTTGACAGCTTAGATTCATTAGAAGGACTTACTAAAATATCCTCAAGAATATCCAGTTTGAGGAGCTGCTGGATTGTCTAAAATTTAACCTTGACCTATGGTTCCTGTGTTCTTAGAGAATCAATTTGGTGCCAGCAGTAGCAAGGGCAAGGAGAAGCCGCAGAAACTACATCCGAGGCAGTTATTAGTAGGTGAAAAGAAAATATCAGAAAAAAAGTAAACAGTTCTCCTGTTGGAAAGAGCCAGGTAGCTTAATCTAGAAAATCAGTAGGCATTTACCATGTTTATAGTGCCAAGCAGACATCTCTAAATTCCTTCTGCTTGAGAGACTTTGGTACATAAAATATAATGTTCACTGCTATTTATTCTTTGTTTAATGCTCAATTTATTAAATGTACAACTCTACTAACTGCAATTCTCTACACATTTGTACACCATTTAAACAGCTAATAAAGCAAATCTTGTAAATTTAATAAGTCAGATTCAACCATTCAATCATTGATTAGAATCTTAGTTAAATTTTTCTAAACATTTCAATAAATTCCCACATAAGCTTCAAGTCTTTAAAATGAGACAAAACTCCTGAGTCAAAACTTATTTTTCAAAAATATCCTTAAGATCATAACAAAAATATTAAATTAATATTTTCATGTTTCACTTATTAGCTTTCCAAGATTAGACTAACAGTAAGTAATTCCTTTGCAAAGTTAAAAAATATTGTCTTAACTAGGTGAGGTTATTGGGTCTGCATGTGGACAGTGTGAAACTTGGTTAGGCCACCAGAATTAGCAGCTCCGCATAAAAAATTCAAATTTGAACATTCATTTGGACAATAATTTAATAGTCATGTTTCCCTTGTTACATCAGCAGAATTTTTTAAAGTTCAAGTCTTTTAACAGGTTGGAAATTCCTGCAACTATTTTTCCAAATTGTCATGAGTGTTAGCAATATTGGAAACTTATATATGCCACATTAGTATCATTAGAGGATGCAATATGTCACATATATTTTTACCATCTAAGCAGGGAGAAATTGAATCTATGCAGTCAAATTTTCTGTTAGGATATTTGACTGACCCTCTTGAACCCTCTTTAGGGCTGATTATTATGCAGTACCACTTGTGTTGATCAACACTTTGTATTCTTGGAATGGTTTGAATTTAACAATTCTCTACATTTAATCTTAGAAAATAGACACATATAAAGTGACACTGTATAAATACATGTACATTCAATAGAAGAAACAGGCCATACCATTACTCTTAGCTTTTTTTGTACAACCAATATTTTGTATACACTCATTTGTACCTTTTTAGTACAATTGTAGTAGGCTCAATGCTTTCATAGACTTAGCGATGCAATGCAAGTGGATGTAGTTATTGGTTATGTTTCAAATATTTGTGTGTATGAGGTAGAGATGTGCTCGCACACACAGTTCTTGTTTTGGGTGTCAATAAAAATATCTGTTTTTGAAAAGATATTATTTTAGAAAATCAGAAAGTCAAAAATAAAGGGCTTGAGTAGAGAAATGCAGAGTTCAGCACAAGATGAGCAAAAAGTGAACTGCCCCAGAAGAAAGTGCACAATCTTAAAATTGCACAGGCCAAACACAATATACTGAAATTGCTTAAACTTAGGGAGTAACATTAGTTGGACACTAAGATGAAATTAAAAAAAAAAAGTCAAGAGCTGAGAGCACAACTTAACCACTCATATCAGGAAAAGTTTATTTCACTCTTAATGATGTATCACAAAGCTATATTTGCACTAAACTATTATCAGGTTTATGAAGACCTAGATTATTTTTAGTTAAACCTGATGATTGTGTAACTGAAAACACAATTTTCTTAGTCTCAATTAATACTTTTTTTTTCCCAAAGAAAGCACTTGAGAGCTTAGAGACACTTAAGAACATCAGCTTTGCTAGTTGGCACATGTTGTAGTCAGGATTTTGGAAGGGAATAGATTTAATACAGGACATGTAAGTTATAGGATTATTTTATAATATTCACCCAAAAGTCAAATGCAGAAGAGTGTGAGAGATCTGTCCACACACTGCAAACCCGAAGAATCTACCCGGGGACCTGAATCCCACAGCAATGTCCTGTATGAGTCCAGCCAAAGGCCTGGAGCCCACCACAGTCCCCTGGGAGTCCACAATGGAAGATGAAGGTCTGCACCAGAAAGCCCAGGGGCTGGTGCTGAAGG